AACATCATCGCACATCGCTGCTGCGGGCGAGGGGAGAGGAAGAGAGAAGGCGGCGCGACGGACCTCGACGACCTCTGTTGGGTGCTACTCGCCAGGTCCACCGGCCGGCCGCCGCCTCTTCGTGCTCTCGCTTCTGATCCGCCGCCCACTCGCCTCCTCGTGCTCGCTCTGATCGCCGTCCGCTCGCCTCCTCGTGTTTCTACTCAGATCTCGCTGTCCGCTCTGCTTGGTCGCCCGCTTCGCCTCCTCGTGGTTTCGCTCAGATTCGCCGTCCGCGCTCTGCTTGGCCATCCGCTCTGCCTCCTCGTGCTCTACTCTGCATCTGCTGTCCGCTCTGCTTGGTCGTCCGCTCTGCCTCCTCGTGCTCTGCTCCGCCGTCCGCTCTGCATCTCCGCTTGGCCCAGGTAGTCTGAATATTGTATACTCTCTGCTCTGCCTCCTTGTGCTCTGCTCTGAATCTGGATATTGTATACTCTCTGCTATGCTATGCTATGCTATGCTTTGTCTGCTCTGAATATGGCGTGTGCTCTGCTTTCCCAAACATAAGGCTCTTGCTTTCTTTTATGTAGCATCCAGCAACATGACAGACTATGATGTCATTTGTCATGCTCATGCATGCACTAATGCTTGCTAATTTGTTATCTTGCCTCTTGTGTATTGTTTCCTATTTAATTCTCAGCAACTGATAACCTGTTTGATTGCTGAATTCTGTAATTGTCATGCAGTTTCCTTCAAGGGGGATGGATGCTACATGGGAGAAGAGCTTTTGGAAAGGAAAGAAAGAAACATGGGCTCAAGAATTGGCAACAACCGAGGTATGTATGTGCTGCACTAGTATATAAAATTCTAGCTTACAACGCCTTACAATGTGTGTATGGCGTCGCCTAGGCGTCCGCCACAAACGCCTAGGCGTTGCGAAGGGGGTCGGGAGCCGCGCCTCGCCGCGGCGCCTCAAAAACATTGCTTACGACATATATCTAAACAAAAAAATCATAGAGCACAACAGAGTCAAGACAAGGATAGCAATCACTACCAACACGGGTCTTGTGCAGTGTGCAATGTACTACTATGTTTTGCCTACTGAGCTTCTTCCATGATTTGCTTTGAAGCTATTAGCTTCACATTGTTTCGCACAAATTCATAGCAAGTTCTGACTGAATCTTCTTAGTAAGATTTGCTGAAAGAAGGGTCAGATGTTTTCTAAAACAAAAAAGACATTAGATAATGGTTATCTGAGGGTGATTTAGGAGATAGAAAATGAGATGCTATCTAATTAAAGGGCTCTATGAGTCTATGTGGTGGCATTTAGCTTATTTTCCAGCCATTTATATATTACCTGAGTCAACAGGGACTATCATATATTCATATATCTATCATGAATCTCCTTGGAGAAGTAATTGCATCAACGATTCCCATGAAATGATATTCACCATAAGGCCCAGCATTAGCTTCAAAATTTTCACATTCTTGATTTGTATTTGACTCCATGATACTTCTAATAATTAAAATTTTAAACATGCCGCTGAGCCCTAATAATATATCCTCCAATGAGACTTTTTTTCCTCGAACGCGCAGGAGAACTGCGCATCTTTATATATTATATATAGAGAGAGAAAACAGCCCAAACAAAAGAAACACACACCACCCTTAACCCAGAAAGAAGTCAAGGGTATATACCAACCACCCCTTAACCCAACAGGATGTCAAGGGCAGGTTGCAAGAAAAAAAAGAAAAACCGAAGACACATCGCCTATTACTAGGGAAGACCGACCAACGCTTGGAGCTTTCGTGCTCCAGCCATACTCCACATCCTCATCTCTTCCTCAAAGTATTGTTGAGCATCTCTGAGAGAAGGAGAGGAACCATCAAAAACACATTTGTTCGTCTGAATCCAAAGTGTCCAAGCACCCAAAATCACAACAGTGTTAAACCCCTTTTTCCTCCTCCAATGAGACTAGCTCCAGATATCCATGTTATCTCCAGTTCCTTTGAGTATTATAGGGATCAAGAAGTAATGGATTGGTTAATGTTTACTTGCCCTAATAATTACAACAATAACAACAAAGCTTTTTAAACTTGGCCTAACCTAGATAAGAAAAGTAGGCTACATGGAAATAGTAAATGTAAACCAAGAAAAAAAAAAGCTTTATAGCATGGATCCTTAAGTTATTGGTGGAGCCACGTAATGTACTCCACTGAGATGGTGACAAGCACTAAGTGACTGTTAAATAGTATAACAGCAATAACTGTCTTCCATGCACATAATTAAAAAATTCCATTGTGTTAATTCTTAGAAAAAAGCGCAGTAAATGGACCAAGATGGAAACCTTTTAACCAACATAGATATTCATACTCCATCTATTAGAGAAATATAAGATTCCTAGTTCTAACTAACTCATTAGTTGCAATCACTTAATAGTTAATATTGAAATTAAAAGCACTCAGAGGAGCTTAGGTTCAGTATAATAGTCTAGGTGCTTAATTAATTTGCTTCTTTCTGCCCTCTGTTTTTTAGTTAAACTATAACGATCATCTTAACATTTCCCCACTCATTTCATGTTGATATTAAAACCTGACACATGTCTCTTTGTGTTCCATTCTGTCAAGCTACTTGTTCGCCACTGCAAACTTTCCTAATCTCTGACATGACATCCTGTGTCAGGCTTGGACCCACATTGTCAGTGACACAAGCTGAATTTCCAAATTTGAAATGGCACTAGAGGACTTATTACTTAATAGTAACACAAACAGAAATTTCCAACTGAAGTAATTTATATTTACTCTGAAAAAGATCTTCTGGCACATTGTAAAACTGTATGTGAAACAGGCTATGCTGTAATGCAAATAATTCAATATTATATTTCAGAACGAAAATTTGCGTTCAAAATAAATATTTTAGAACGAAAATTTCAGAAGTTCAGAACCTTCTCAAATTGTGGATTCTATCTCCAGAAAAGATGTTCATGTTCCTAGGAAAAAGAATGAGGTCTTCCCCATATTGATTCTAGAGGCCGTGGTAAGTAAATCATGAGGACTTGACCAAAAAAGACAAAGGTTTAACATTATTACGTAAGAAGAATACATGGGATCTACCTGTCTGAAGATGCCACTTTATGCAACATGGAGCACTTACAACATATACCCACATAAAAAATTCATAGAACACAACCAAGTCCTGACAGGGATAGCCACCACTACCGACACAGGTACACTGTACTGTGCTGCATTTTGTCTACTGAGCTTTTTTGCATGATTTGGTTTGAAGCTATTAAAGTCAGTTGATTGTGCCACAAATTCATAACAGGTCCTGATCGAATCTTCTTGGTAAATTTGTGAAAAGAAAGGGTGCTGATTTATGTTAAACACACACACTGGGCAATGGTTATGACAGTGACTTTGGACAAAAAAAAAAAAGGGCGTACCCAGTGCAGAGAGCTCCCGCTCTGTGCGGGGTCTGGGGAAGGGTGTTAGTGGCAAGCCTTACCCTCGCCTATGCAATGCGAGGAGACCGCGACTCGAACCGGGACCTTCCGGTCACAGGTGGTAAGACTACCGCTTGCACCAGGCCCGCCCTTCAAAGGAAATGACATAAAATTCCAATGTTCCTAGCCATTCACATTTGCAACTGTATCCAACAAAAGGACTCCCTGTGATAGCATTTAGCAAATTTTCCAACCATTTATAGTTTTATATTAATTAACCGAATCAACAGAGACTATGATATATTTATTATGAATCATCCCATTGGAGAAGTAATTGCATCAACAATTCTCATAAAATGAACAAACATCATAAGGCCCAACATTACCCTCAAAATTTAAATCATCTTGATTTATACTGACCCTGTGATACTTTAATAATTATAAGAAGTTTAAAATATGCCATTGAGCCCTAATAACATAGCCTTTAATGGGACTAGCTCCAGAAATTTCTTTAGTCCCCATATATCAATTCTTTTTCAGCGTCATAGTGTTCAAGAAAAAGTTGAATGGTTAGTGTCTACATGGCCTAACCTAGATAAGAAAAGTAGGCTAGACGGAATAATAAATGAATAAACTAAGCAAAAGAATATGCTTTATGGCATTGGCATGTATCTCAAGCTATTGGGGCAGACATATTATGTGCTCCACTGAGATGGTGACCAATATTAATTGACTTGTCCAATACAATACCAACATACAACAGTAATTGTCTTTTAGGCACATGGTACAATATTGCATAGTGTTGATCCTTAGAAATAGCAGTAACAACGAGACCACGATGGAAACCTTACCAACATAGATATTCATAATCCATCTATTTCAGAAAGTATAAGAGTTCTAACTAAGGGGCTGCTTGGATCCTTTGCCTACTACTATTTTGCCTTGCCAAGCTAGGAACTAGAGGGAGACATGTGTTTGGTTAGTGGGCAAGATTTTCTCGTAGTCTGTGCCAGCAAGCTTTTTCCTTGCTTCCTTGGGTGAGCCAATTTGGCTTGCTCAGGCTGGCAAGGTTAGCTTTGCCAGGCCAAGCAAGGCGAGGCAAGCCAGTAAAAGAACCAAGCATGCCCTAACTCACAAGTCACAAGCGCTTAATATTGAATTTGGTAGCATTCTAGAGGATGAGGATCTCTACATTCAGAATGATAGTCAAGATGGTTAACTTATTTCCCTCTGTTCTCCTCAATTTTTCTTTGAAAATCACGCCCCCCCACCCCTCCAAAAAAAAAGGTAATAAAACCTTACACATGTAAGTTTGTGTTCGTAATCCTGTCAAGCTACTCGTTAGCCACTGCAAACTCTCCTAATCTTTCACACAGCATTGATCACACTTGGACCCACATCGTAAGTGAGACAAGGTACAATTCTGAAGTTTGAAATGGCACTAGATTACTTTTTGCTTAATATTAACACAAGTGTTGTTTATATGGCACAAGAAATTCCAACTGAGATTCAAATGTTGATTCACACTTATTGATGCAATCATACTAAAATCATACCTTGTAGCATGAATTGCAATCTTTAGCCACCTTCAGTCCAGCTACAGCCTGGTCTCAAGTCCAGTTCTTTTGACATCGACATTCTCAGGACATCATCGGCTCTGTCCCTTCTCCCAATTGAAACATAAATATCAGCCAGCATCTTATAGTTAGCTCTATTTTCTGGATCCAAGGACAAGAGATGCCTAGCTGCTGCTTCTCCAATCACCAAATTCCCCCAATAGCGGGAACCACTTAGTAATGCCCCCCACAATATAGGGTTTCTTGCATGTTCAGAGTGGGAACTCTGGATCAGGTGATATGCATCAGTCAAGCGTCCAGTACGACAGAGCATATCAACAACACATGAAACATGCTCTATAGCTGGCTCCAGACCATACTGCTCTTTCATGCACTTAAGAAGGCTCATTCCATCCTCAACAAGACCTGTGTTTTTGTAGGCAGTCAACACAGCAATTATTGTGTAGTGGTTCGGTTGTACTTTTGTTTTCTTCATCATCTCAAAAAGCTTAACAACTTCTGCTGCAAGTCCATTCCATGCATATACCTGCATCATAGAAGCCCAAGAGATTGCATCCTTATCCATAATCTCAGTAAAGGCATCAACTGAAAGACTAAGACTCCCACATCGACCATACATGTAAATAAGTGAATTAGCAATTGCCCGTTCATTCTGGAAACCTCTTTTAACAATGTGAGCATGTACTTCCATCCCCTTTTTCAGTGATGGAATCAATGAGATCATAGGTAGAATCTCCAAGAATGTAACACCGTCCGGATCAATGCCTGTCCTATGCATTTGTATTGCAAACCCAATTGCCTTTTCCACTTGTCCAAGCTCTCCACAGCCTTTGATCAGGGCATTCCATGCAACCACGTCGCCTCTAACCTCTGCAGATTCATGGAGAAGACTCTCAGACAAATCTAACTGTCCGCACTTTGCATACATATATATCAGCGTGGTTACTATAGAGGGATCTCTCTTGACTTCACTGCCATTACACATGACATAGTTTTCTTCAATCCATTTTCCTTCTCCCCAGTCCCCCAACTCAGAGCAGGCCAAGATCACATTGAGCAAGATAGACCGTGTGACCAACACCTCCGAGTTCAAGAGCATCCAGTGGAAAAGCTTAACAGCATAATCCGCTTTGCTATTCCGAACAAGTCCACCAATCATCGAACTCCAAGTTACAGAATCCTTCACCTTCATCTGCCGGAACACCAACAGTGCCTCACCCAAACAACCCAACTCTGCATACATCTCCAGGAGAGCGTTGGAAACAAAGAGGCTGTGCTGGAAGCCAGACTTAACCACAGCAGCGTGCACCATACCACGGCCCTTCCAAGAACCGAACCCGGCATAACCAGAAACCAAGCTCACGAGCGTCGCCTCAGTCGGCCACGCTCCATCCGCAGACCTCATCATGCCAAACATCTCCACAGCCTCGGCGAGGCGCCCCGCACACACATACCCACCAATCACTGCGTTCCACGCCACGGCGTCCCGGCGCGGCATTCCATCGAACACCCTGCGCGCGGCACCCATGTCCCCTGCCTCAGCGTGCATCCCGATGAGCGCGGTGGCCACCAGGAGGTCGGACGCCCCGAGCCCGCACGCCGCGGCGGCAGCCTCGACGCGGCGGCCGAGTTCGAAGTCCGGGGCGCGCGCGCAGGCCGTGGCGGCGAGGTGGTACGTGTGGCGGTCGGGCGCGCAGGAGGAGCCGGACGCCAGCATGGCGCGGAGGAGCGCGGTGGCCTCGCGCGGGAGGCCCAGGGAGAGGTAGCCCCGGAGCATGGCGTTGTAGAGGAGCGGCTTGGGCGGCGCCGCGGAGGGTGAGGAGGAGGAGGACGCGGCGGCGGCGGCGGCGTCGAAGACCCCGCGCGCGGCATCGGGGTCGCCGAGGCGGGCGTAGCGGGCGACGAGGAGGGACGCGAGGTAGCCGTTGGCGGCGAGGCCGGAGACAACGGCGAGCGCGTGGGGGCGGCGGGGGTCGGCGGCGTGCGGGGAGGAGGTGATGGCGGCGGCGAGGGATTCCTTGAGGGCCTGGTACCGGTAGGTCACGAGGGGCATTTAGCTCCCTGTGTTTTTTTTTCTTTTTCCTTTTTTTGCGTCATCAGAATCCGTATTTGAAATTAGGCGCGAAAGGGCCTCCTCACGTCATAGGCACTAACGACGTTAACTGAAGGATTTGTTAAAAAAAAAACGTTAACTGAAGGATGGAAAGACCATTTTATCCCCTGTGGTGTGCTTGACTTCCTTGCTTGGGCGTTCGTTTGGACGTTGACTTTTTGGTTGCTCCAATCTAAACATATTCGACACAGTTTCATACACATGATTTTCAGGTCAATTTGACCAAGAATTGATCATTTGAAATGAAAGGTATAGATGGAACTAGGTGGACGTGGACATTGAGAATCTATGGTTCTTTTTTGCTGGGTGGCTTAGATCCAACCAACCGTTCGACAGAATATCTCAATGAGGTAACCTTAGCTGAATAAGGATGAGGTGACTGTATTCGAGTTAACCAAACAACCAAACATGATTTGTGTATTGCATCAAAAGAAACATGATTTGTGTAAGCCAAGCTTAGCTAAGACAAATAAACCAAACAACAGTCCCTTGCATGGAGAGAGCCTTGGGTTGCCCTAGCTTAGTTGGCTAGCCACGCTAGGTCTAAAACGCAAACCACAAGCAACACCCTACATGTATCCAAGCCCCTATTTGGAACCGCTTTTATAAGAACGATTGTAATCTAATTAGGATTGTCTCATAAGCTGCGGTTCAAAAAATCTACAGTCTAAATAATCTAGATGTTTGACAACCCTAATTAGGATAAAATCTAGAGGATAAATTTTGGTTAGAAAAATCTAGAGGATAAAAATGACCTTAATAGCCCTTTGACCATTTATTGATCTGTCATCCGGTCCACTTATTCTGCAAGATTGCCATTCAGACTCATTCTCGTGGCTTCGATCATAGCGACCAGGAGGGAAAAAAAACTCCCTCGTCTGTCCCACATCTAAAGCATAGGTATGTGGGCAGCTAATCTCACAGAGCTGCGGTTCCGCTGTGTAAGGGTGAGGTAGGGTTAGGGGTTTTCTCGATCTACGTGAGAAGATCTTCTTCTTAAGCTGGAATACCCGGGAGCTGTCTAGCCACCGTGGATCGAGTTTTTTTTTATATGTTTAGGCCAATAATAATGTACAAATATAATCAATATACAACCATATTAGCTTAATTAATATGTGTCTAAATTATGATTATTAAAATGAATTTAATTTCAAGGATCCAAGCGGGGCCTAAGTGTATTTCTAGGATTTTGGAGATTAATGTTACATGAGAATTATATATATGTAACTTATAAAAACTATTTCAGCTTGTAATGACTGTACTTTGAAAGTGGAGAAGGTAAAATAGAACTACTATAACTAGGTGAACTACTATACCTAGAAAAATCCTTATATATTTTGGAACAAATTTTAAATGGTATAAGTCCTTTATTTTGAGACGAGAGAGTAAAGGAGGTGAATCAGTATGCCCAATAGTCACGGTTTCATTGTTAGGAGTCACCACTCAATGTGGCACCACCTTCTAAAAGAGGCAGCCGATGTGCACTTGGCAGTTCCACGGTCATCACTCATCACCACGTACCACGTCTGTGCCCCCCTCCCATGGCTAGCACACTTTTCATCAGCCAGTCATCCAGGAACGCACTACGACAATTCGCACTCGGGCCTATGACTAGTGCTGAAAATGGACAGAACTTTTCCCGTCTGTTTTTCCATATTTAGCCCGTCCGTGTCCGTATGTTCAAAAATATTCAGAAATGGTACGGAACGTGGAACGAAAGTTTTCGGAATCGGAACGAAAATGGAGAAAGTGTTTTTCCGCCTGTATTTTCGAAAATCTGTATTTGGCCCGGATTTTTACTGGATTTCATCCAGACCCATCAACCATCGTAGCTTGTCCCAAACGCCCAAGGCGGTGTTTAGTAGACAAACTTTGCATAGTGAAGATTCCGTACTGTAGTATTTTGTTTGAATTTGTGAATTATTGTCTAAACATTGACTAATTAGGCTCAAAAGATTTATCTCGCAAAAGTTTAAGCAAATTGTGCAATTAGTTTTTGATTTCGTCTACATTTAGTACTCCATGCATGTACCACAAATTTGATGTGACGGAAGAATCTTCTTTTTGCATAGTGCACTTTTCAGGAGTTTGGAGGAACTAAACAAGGCCCAACAGCCCATCTAAACAAACTCCATCTCATCTCTCTATCTCGGGCAGGGCGCACAGCCGCCGCCCGCTGCCTGCTCCAGGGTCCAGGCCGCTGGCTGCTGCCTGCTGCCTGCTGCCCGTGCAGCCGCCTGCTACCGCCGCCACTTGCCAGGCAGACTGCTGCCCGCGCGGCTGCCTTGCGCCGGGCCCGCCGTCCAGTCGCGAGCAAGGTGCTGGCATGGGGATGAAGAGGATGGGGAGCAGCTAGGGTGCAACGCCATGGGGATTGGGGAGAAGTAACGGAGGACGGTGTTGAGGACTAGCGCTCGATGGAGAGGGTCGAGGAAGAGGCACGCGGGGGAAGGGTGAGGGGAGGCGGCGGCAGCCAGCACGGGTGGAGTGGAGACTGGATAGCATAAGCGTGTGGGGGGATTTTTGTTTTTTCAATTTTTGTTTCGCACGTTGAGCTTGTTTCTTTTTCCATTTTCTTTTTCTTTTTCTAGAAAACACCCGACATCTATACAATTAAATGTAGATATATACAGATCATTAGTGATACATTTATGTATACATGTCGACATGGAAACGTGGTCTCATGTTAAATAATTAAGGCCATGAAGAACTTTTTTGTGGGGATGTACTGTATTCATGTCGTCCCTTTTTAAATTTGTTAGTTGTGTGATTTGTGAATTGTGAGTATAAAGACGTGTGGTATTCCGGCTGAAGTTTCTAGCTTCTGACCGTAGTGGTTCGTTTCTGTACACCTGCATATTCTGATTCCATTTCTAAACCCGTATTTTCCGAACCGACCCCGTTTCTGCCAAAAAAAATATAGAAACAGGAGTAGAAACAGGGTTTTTTCGTCCATTTCCATCTGTTTAATTGGCTACCTATGACCCTGCTGTCCGCCTTCGCGCTATCAAGAGTGCCAACCCCATTGCATCCACGTGGAAGATTGACAGCATACTACACCTCTAGGCAGAGGTGCCTGCAAGCCCTCGGGGAAGAGCATGTCGCTGCAGCCAGCGTCGCCCCCCCCCCCTAGCGGGGCTGATGGACCTCACAGTAGGTCAAGTCCCTTCCAAGTCAAGCACTCGTAGAAACTGTTAGAGTTGATCTCATCTGACTCAGCCCAACGGTCGAGTCAGGCCTTGATTCAGTGCCTTGATCGGGGGCATCCAACCAAACCAAGGTTGGTGGGCCCCCGTCGCGCAGCACCATATAGAGTGAGGTGGGGGCTAGGGCATATGATAGGAGGTTCAGCTGAGCCGCTAGACGCCCCACCTACTTGCTAACCCTAGACCAATCGAGAGGGGTGCTGCTAGTGACGGGAAGCGCCACCACCGCCTCTACACCACGCGCGGACTCCACTGTGTCTTCTACCCCGCCGCTCGCCGCCGCCGGATCCACAGCCGTCGGACGACGCCACCAACTGGACCTCGACATGGACGGCACATCCTCCTCCAAAGTCGATAGTCAGCCACTCCTACATCTCCCTCTCTCATAGCCTCCCTCTCTATATCATGTTATAGGTCGAATTGAACTAAACCAGTAATGAATTCACCCTCCAATATGCACCTAGATGAATCCTAAGTATCTATCAATGGTATCAGAGCCACTACTCTAGGGTATATTCGGTAGGGGAAGTAGCAGTTTAGAAGGAGATGAGATAGATCCGGTTTGGATCGAAAGAAAGAGAAGCAGAGGGTTCGATCCGGTTCGGATTGAAACCCTAACCCTCATAGGGAAGAAGAACAGTGACTCAACCCGAACCCTAACCCATCGGGGGAGATGAACAGTAACCTGAACCCGAACCTATCCCTAACCCTAGATCAGACTTGCTCTGGGAAGAAGAGAAAAGAAGATCCAAACAGAGAAAAGAAGAGGGGGAAAGGGGAAGGACTAGGGAGGCGGCTTACCTCGCCGGCCTCCACTCACCGGAGCACTCCGAGATTGGCTCCACGCCGCGCTAGGGCACGGCTGCACGCTGTGCTAGGGCACCACCGCTAGGCCGCTCGAAAGCGGCGCGCTCACTCGTTGGGGAGCGCGCGCGCCGGTGAGGGGGCCGGCGACGGCGCCATTCCTCCATTGCTGACAGCACCCCTCTTCTCTTCAAGACTTAGATCTCTGCATACCTCTACATACCATGCTCCCCCAGATCATCCCATCTTTTCTAAAGATGGTGTATCTTCAAATATCTTATTTTGGGTTTAATCTGTTATAACCTCATATGACGCTTTAAGCACCACCTTAACATCTTTGAGGCTGACTACGCTATCTTCCTGTCGAAACTTTAAAAAGTCCAAGAATTTAGCTATTTCTCTGCTTAGGGGTATCATTGTTGTGACCGTTGTACTCCTTCGACGGTCGCATACATCTTAATTAATCTTTATCTCACTCTTAATGAAGAGTATCTTTCTTAATTAATCTTTATCTCACTCTTAATAAAGAGTATTTTTTCTTAATTGATCTTAATATTCTCCCCCTCGAAATATGGCATTAACTTTACTGCCATAATTTCGAGAACCATTAAGAAAACTATGAACGAGGAGACATATATGACTTACTTCATTCATATGATTATGTCATGCGAACATAGTTATTTCTTGATTCGTATAGGAGTACACTTTCCTTATTTCACTTTGAGAACTCAACGAGGTCTTTCATTAGCAGTGCTTTTGCAAGACACACTTGCATCTTTTCTTATCCTTTGGTTAGTATTGACCATGACGATGCATTTCTATTGTGCCAAGGTCAATACTAGGACAGCATAAGAGCTACCCAAACTTCTCTCGCTATACGGGATACAAAACATGTGAATCATCACAAAACTTCTCCCGCCATGCAGGATT